TTTCGTTTCACGCAATTGAATCTTCTTCCACGAATACGTGCAGGTACAGGTAAGAATCTTTTCGGGAGAAGGCAAAGGGAAGCGACAAGAACCATTCATGTTCCACTGAAAGGCGGGGCTCAGCTGCGGCGCATCTGCCCATTCAGTGACGCAGAGACGGAAAACGCAAAGCATCATGCAAACGCCACAAGCGGAGGGGCGGGGGAGGGGAAGAAAAGGGGCGAGGACGAATCAAAATGTTGTTTCCAGACGCGCCGAAGCTTAGGGCGACCCGCGGCGGCGCCATTCACTGGAAAACACTTTGTCCTCGCAGCGTTTTGGGTGGTGCCATTTCGACATTGCGAAAGTTGCGTGTTTGGTCCTTCCCCTTCTTCCGCCGGGGGGCGCCTCTTTCTCCCGAAGTCATCCCAACCTCAATCACCTGGCAGCGTATCCCCCCCAAGAAAACGAGCAAAAATTATGCTGCGCGGATAAAGTACAGAAAGAGGATACCGGGAACGTACGCGGGATGATGTAGGCACTTGTTTACTGTAGTGCCCACGCTAAGACTCCCGTACTATGTACTCTAATCTGTACGCTTGACCATTGCGTCCGGTAACGTTTTTCTAAGAGTCTAGCAGTGAAGCGTCGGAGTTCACTTCGATTTGAGCTCATTCCACATATAATCTTCAGTCCAGTCCTCAAGAACTCGTAGGGGAATAAACAGGCTATATATTTGAGAGCCAGATACGTCAATGAGTAAAACGAAAGATCGTAAATCGCACTACGCATGCGCAGATGTCTGAAATACAGTATAAAGCGAAAGGGGGGGGGGGATTCAACTCATACCTGCTGCTAGGGTGACGCTGGCGCGTTCGGTCAGACAGTGCCTCGCCTCACCTCATCATCAGCAGAGGAGGCGAGGACGAGGATTTTGAGAAAACGCAAAGCGAACGCCCAAAAATCGCCCCTCCATGAACCTCCATTCCACAATCTACTGCAAAAGCAGCACAAAAAAAAACGAGGGAATAGGGGGCGGGAGTAATTGGTGGGTTTGAGGGGGAGGGGGGGAATTGCAGGCATCAGCATCGGGGAGCTAATTCGACGGCAGAGGGCATTTAAGACGAAGCGAACGGGCGCCGATTTCGATTTCGAACGGCAGTTTTGTACTTTTAAATGACGATTATGTGGCTTCGGAGATAGGGCCTCCCAAAAAAAACGGCTGAGTGCTCGTGCTACGACGGGAAGATCGGGGAGGGGGGGGGGAGATCGCCGCGCTGCGTATTCGCGCCCCGACCAGCGCTGGACGCGGGCAACGACAGACGGATCCAGCAGACCGCGCACACCTAATAGATGTCGGCAGCGGGGCTGGGCCGGGCCGGGAAAGCTTCCATGCATGATTCAGCGCTGCGGCGGGGGCGGCGGGGCCAGCCGGCCGTTAGCTGGGCGTTGGCACGGCCCCGCGCTAATTGTACAATCAAATTTATAAAAGTGCGGCGCCACGGCCGCGCCCCCGCTGGACCAGCTAATCGCTTTAGCATGTAATTTTTTTTGTTTTTGTTTTTTTACTAATCCTTTTAAGTCGCTCAGGGCACGGGGTTTCTAGATTTAACTTTCGTGTCTGACGCAGATGTGCCTATATGGTTTAGAGGGTGCTCGAACCACCGACCCCCGCAGGCGCAGGCGCGGTTAAAGGGGAAAATGGGAGGGGGGGAGGTGTAATGGAGATCTACCCCTTCGAGTGAAATACACCTGTGAGCAGATGCTACACCTTCAAAGGGAGGTTCCTTTCAGCACGGGTGAGGAACGCTGCACGACGCCGCGACTCGATGAAGACCCAGAAGCAGCGCTCTCTCCGGGACGGGGGCGGGAGGCAAGGGGGCTGAGCCCATTCCCTCCCCTCTTTCACCGCCACCACCTTACTCAGCGGAAACACTTACCGCGACCATGTCCTGGATGGCCTGAGCCTCCTTCGACCCGAGCATCACCATGCCCATGGCGATACCAGCAGCCTCACCCGCCACGGCGTCATCGAGGTACAGATTGGCTCGGAGCTGATCGTACACGTCCTGGCGGTAAGTGCCCATGGCTGCGAGACCCAGGCCGAGGCAGCCACCGTGACGCACCATCTGAAACAGGTGCGAAGTCGTTATCTAAAAGTCTCCATCCGTACAATAGCTCTATTCACAAGCAAAACTCTCGCCCCACCTCATTCTGTGCTTCACTCAGCTGGCCTAGGAGGTAGTCAATGATTGCTCCGCCGTGGTTGGCATGAATGAGTCCCAAGGCGTACAAACCGCCTCCTTCACTGAATCCAGATGTCGGGCCGGACTCACGCGGTAAGTAGCTCTGCATTAGAGCTAGAGCTTCATGTTCATGACCACGGTGAATGACTCCTAAGGATGCAGTTGCGGTCAGCTTGGCCCAATTGGTGGCGCGTGCTAACCAGTCCAAGTTGTCCCTGCAAAGTTTGATAGTTCATAAACACCTCACTTTTGAAAATGATAAAGAAAAACAAACACAAAAACTGACAGACTTCAAAATGTGGTGTAACTAAAATAATTTAGTAGTACCTCAAAAATTGGTCACTTGTTGTACCACTATGCATAAACCCATTAGCAATAACAGTAGCCGTGTGGCATATGGACACTCTGATAGCATCTTTGGTGTTTTTAAGAATAAGCATATCAGCATGATTACTTCGAATTAAAAATTGAAGATGAAGATCAATTGTCACTTCTCCACTAAGAATGCCGGCTAGTTTTTCAACTCGAACTTGGTGGGTTTTCTCAGACTCGGTCTGTTACATCAAGAAAAATGTGTAAGTAATTGACATGGCAACATCAAAATGGTAATATGTGAAGTCACAAGTTTTACACACCAGGCTCTCAAGTTTTTTCTCCTTTTTATCCTCATTAGCATTAGCTGAATCTTCTTCAGATTTCACTGTACTATCTTTTTCTGCAGCATTGGCAACAGCAGCAGCTCCAACCATGCCTTCAACAGACACTTTGGTTTGTTTATCAGTAAGTGAGGGTATAGGAGCTGTTGCCCGAAGCGCTTGAAGAACACGTCCCAAGAATTGCTGGGTAGCACTTTCATACAAATCAAAAGCAATTTGATAGGCCATCAGAGTACTGTCCTGGAAAAACAAAAGCATAACAGGTTTGAGTTTTTGATGCTTACAGAAAATACAGGGAACACCATAAGATTTAAGTTGAAATAATTACTTCACTGTCTTTGCTGAGCTTTTCAAGAACATCTGCTACGGCTAGAGGGTCATCCAGGAAAATCAAGCACTGGCACATATTCACATAATCTGGTGTTTCTAAATCACGATATAATGCAACCAATGACCGCAGTACTGAATTTCTAAAGCCTCTGTTCTGAATCAGGCTCATTGCTACTTGGAAAGCATACTGGAGCATACCAGCAACATCATCCTGAGAAATAGAAAGAAATATTCGATTAAAAACCAAGGCACACAGGAAGATTAAATGAATGAGATTTGCTAGGTATTTTTGGTCTTACAGATTGTTTGATGGCTTTCTCAAAGATATCCATCCTTCGTGTTTCTAAGGCAAGGCCAAGAGCCTGGCGATATTGGCCATCATCTAAGCATCTTTGAAACATGCGATCAACAATAGCCACAAGCCTAGAATCAATTTCCTTCTCTTTTCCAGTTTCAGCATTGGCATTTCGGTATTGAGTATAGAAGTCAATACACTTGGCTAATAATAAAAATTAATTAGTTTTTTTCTTTTTGGTTCTAAAAATAGGCAATTATTATACCAAAGGACTCTCTTACCTATAGTTGTGTCCACATACTCAGACCGTGACATGACATCAAACAGTTCACCAGCACCCAAAGCAAAGTTGAGGGAATCTTCAAATGAACCTAAGTGGTAGTAAACTTTGCTTGCAACAAGAGCAGCTAGTTTATGTTGGTCAAATCCCTTGTCTTCATGAAGAATTTCACTGAAAAAAATTAATGATTTTCAAAAGGGAAACACTATTTTACCAACAATTCTAAATGAAACTTAGAGCGAGGTCAGACAAACAGTTTAAATAGTCTTACATTTTGAGGATAGCCTCTGATATCTCAGGCCAAAACTCATCGACGATGGTGTCCAGCTTCTTCAAGGCAAAAACCTTCAGCTCAGGCATTGGCTCATCCAGGAGGGATATAACCCCCGCTAATGAATTGGAGAAAAATAAAATAAAAATGTATCAAGCAAGTGAAACAAGAGTCGTCAATGGGTACGCTAGTCCTTTACTTCAAATAAGATGTTGTAATTGTAATTCATTTGACAAGTTGAGGTTATGGACCGCACACTAGTTGCAATTTTCACGAGTAATTTGTCAGATAAAAAAGTAATGGTCTGACTTAGTAAGTCAATGCCTATCCAATCTCGTCTGATATCATGCAATAGCTTTATATTATTATTAAGATATAACTAACGTGAGAATGACTTGCATCCCCCGGTACGGTCACCGTCAGCAAAATACAACAACAAATCGTAAAAGTAAAGGAAAAGTAGAAAAGCAAGTGAGCTCATTACCTGCTGATGTCACGTTCATTTTGATTGCGGTCTAAAATTGAGTGCTATGTAAATACAAAACTCTGTTAGAGAAAAACTACCCGACTAAACGTCAGCACCGCAGGACAGAACAGACACTGACTCCTTTCTTTCTGTTGCTGTTTCGGTTTCGGGGGAGATAAGTTACGATCCGCAGAAGTACTGACGTCATGAAACCCAAGCAGAAGTGCGCATGCGCGCCAATGAATGGCGGGAAGGCGGGAAATAAGAAATGCTGACGAGGACTTCCCTCAAATTTCCCTTGATTTACGGGCTTTCTGTTCCTGGTAGAAAATGGTTGAGAATCAAAGTTTGGGCAGAATTCAAGTAAAATGACGGATGTTTCTCCTAAAGAGCAGACTGTATATCTAATCATGATTCGTCGCATTCTCATTCTGATCCTGCCTGGAGTCAGACCGATCGGACCAGCTGGTAGGCCACCGACATGACGTCACAGCTGTTTTTCTATACACTCCCAAATATCTCTTTCTCCAGGTTCTAACGCGAAAGTGAATGTGTATGTTGTCATGGGAGGAATGACTGGACACTCTGTTTTTCCAGAATATTGAAGAATGTAAAGAATTGTTACAAGACACTGTTCATTGCATGGTTCGGAAAAAAATATGCACCTTCAATTCAAAAAAACTGAATCTAGTGACGAATGTATCATTCTTTAAACCCGACTTTTAAGTTCGTCCAACGATCAAGTCAGTGGTGGTTGGGTATTGACGTATGATCACATGACCCATGTACCGGGCTAGAACAGCTAGAAGTCTTGGATAGAAAGAACTGATGGAGCAAAATGGCTGACGAAGATCCACGGATTTTGAGTGAAGATGGTTTTTTAAATGCTGATACAGAGTCTAAAAGTGTTATTTGTCATCCCAACTTGAATGTAATTCTTCTTGTAACTAAGTCGAATGAACTAATTGTCATAGATGTTAACTCTGGGTCAGTTCTGCAAAGAAGTTCCCTATCAGGTATGTCACGTTGATCTTTCTTCTTAATGAGGAATAAAGTCATAAATGACGCCTTAATGTAATCAATTTGACGTCATTAGTACTGCTTAACTACTTGTCAACCTTACCTTCCCACGGCGAAAGGTCCCATGACATAAGTTTCTAACCCTATTCCCTTCTTGTTGTATCACGGCATCCCAGTGTTTATATTTATTATTCTTCCCTTGTTATCTGTTGTGCTCATCATTTTGACATTTCTTCAGTAACGTGTAATAATGGGAACCCCTCCGAGTAATTCCATCGGTCAAGGTTTTCGTGCTTCGTTGTCATATCTATTGAAAAATACTCTAGAGGTTAGGTTGACATGTAGAGTTGTTCCAACTCTTGAGGCTGGTCATTGTTTTGAAAAAATGTCAGCTGTCACACCTGGAATAGATGTTCAGTTTTGAAGACAGCATATTTTATCGTTTATTCATATTTTGGAACATTGAATCAATCATAGCTGTCCTCTTGTTTCTGTAGTAAATTGACTGATTGGAATAAATTTTGATAGTACTACAACCATTTAATTTTTCAATCACACTGCCTCATCAGGTGATTTTTTTAAATTTGCCGAAAAACTTGTTAAATTGATTGTCTCTTTCAACTGTGCTTCCAGCTAAATGGCAAGGAGATGTTAGAGGAGTTTACATACCTGGAACTGACAAACTTCTCTTGACTGATGGAGCTGCAGTTGGTGTGAGAAGTGATTACAATGGAGTTCTTTTATTGGACACTATTCTTCAACCTCCTGTTCAGAAATCTGATGATGTTGTCAGATTGGAGCTTCTGCATACAGAGGTGAGATGATTCTTACCGATAGACATTTCTACAAGTATCTAATCTACTAATAATATTTACAGATGTTTTGCTCATGATAAGCCTCAAACCTTTACTCTTCTCTTTCATTTATTTTGCAGGCTGTCTTACTTCAGCGATGTCTTAAACAATTTGAACTTCGGGGAGTGTACCAAACAGCCGAGGTGCTGCAAGAGCTCACCAATCGCACAAAGGAGTCTCAAGCTAACCCAAGGAAAACCATTAAATCACAAAAAGTAATACTCATTTTTTAAGCCTAATTCATAATTGCCTTCTTGGACATATTCCATAATCTTTAATCTTTTCTTTCTACTCAGTGGAACACAGTTTGCTTGGAACTTCCTCATAGTTCATTGAAAGCTGTTTGTTCTGGTCTAGTTAGTGAGTTGAAGCGCCAGAATCAACATCTTCCAGTGCTTCCTCTAGCCTCAGCTTTAAATGAACGTTTGAATTCTCTTCTACCAAGTCTAGCCTTAGAAAATGTGGGAACACCTGCTGAAAGAAATTTTATGCACAGTGAGGCAGCCCGTAGAGAAACATTCTCTAAATGGCCCCATATGAATTACAAGTAAGTGTGTCATTCAATTAGTTGATTTACTTGTTTAATACTCACTCTAATTCTTGAACTTTGGTAACTTTTAGATGGGCTCTCCCAGACCAAATGGCTCAGGCCGGGTTTTTTCATCAGCCGAATTCAGCTGGTGATGATCGAGCGATGTGTTTTACATGTATAGTTTGCCTTGTCTGCTGGGAACCAACTGATGAACCTTGGTTAGTGTTGCCAATTTCCTTCACAATGTTTTGAATTACTCAATATTTTTGTGTGACACAGATGTATATCTTATTTTTGCTTTGTCAGGTCTGAACATGAGCGCCATTCCCCTTCTTGTCCATTTGTTAAAGGAGAGTATACTCAAAATGTACCTCTCTCTGTAACATATGCAACAGCCCCAGCAGCCCCTTTAGCTTGTACTAGTAATTCTGATCAGACTGAGGAGAGTCAGGCTGATGAAGTAGTACTTGGAACATCCAGTGCACCGGAATTGGCTGTTACGTTCAGTTCGAGAGGGGGGGTAAATATTTGGAATGTGAAACGTCAACTTAAGAGTGAAGCAACCATTCTTGTAACGGGAGGAGAGCAAGTGCTAAGACATGTTCAGCAAGAGGAACACCATCAATTCAATGAGAAAATTAGACCTAATAAACCTCAAAGAACAGATGGGAACAGTGTTGCTGATGAAACATTAGACCCAAAGCCAGAAAGGGACCATAGTGACTGTGATTCTTATGCTGATGTGCCAAAACCCCCCCGGGAAGCTTGGTTGAGGGCAGATATTAATAGTGAATCTGAGAATATGGAAGAATCTGCTTTAGAGTCTATAACAGGTAAATGTTATTCTTTCAAGCATCCTTCCTAAGTATTCCTTTTCTATCTAACACTAACTTTACATTGTTATTGTTCTTTAGATGTGTATGTGCCAAAAGACAACCAAGTTGAAGTGAGTGCAGCAAGCACTGTTGGAGGCTGTCATCCTAAAAAGACAAGCCCTCAGCTGCAGCCTGTTGCTGTAGTTGGTGTTGAAGTTTACCCGACCTGTGTCAAATGTCCACGGAAAGACCCTCCCACATGGGGTGGAAGCTGTGATGTAGTTCGAATTATGAATGATGCAAATCAAGCTAGCAAATGTGAAGGGGGTTCATTAGATATTATGAAAGTAAGTCAAGACCCAAGTCTGGCCTGCTCCTCACCTCATCAAGAACAGCTTCGGGAGTGCTCTTCTTACTTAATTGTGTACGATTTGTACCCCTCTCCGTCTGTCGATGATTGTGAGGACGACGATGGTGGGAACAGTGGTGGCAGCTATGCAAGTACCAACAACAGTGGCAATGGTGCAAGTGCACCCACTAGTGGTTTGAGTTCTGGTGGAGCTGCCCCAGGCCTTGGCAATGGTAATGGTAGTGGCAGTAACAGCGGTAGTGGGAAAAAAATTGATAAAAGTGTCACCACACAAGCCAGTGGAAATGTCAAAAAATATGTGTCAGGAACTGGAACAAGTGCATCATCCTCATCAGGAACTAGACAAGAGAACATGTATCAAGAGCTGTTCTTACCTAAATTCCTTTATGGTCCACCAGTAGTCCAGGACGGACAGGGAAGCGTTATAATTACTGCTGATCCTGATCCTTTGGATGGTCTAGATTTTTCACCACCCGGTAGTGTGTTTTCAGCCCCAGATTATACTCTAAACATGCTGCAAGTAACTCTTGGAAATTCCAATCCTGGCACAATTATAAATCAAATGAAGAAAATCAGTGCCAAGAAGTGTATGTCAGCCCTTCCCCCTATCATTTCTCAGGAAACCCCCAAAACCAAGCAGTTTGAGCCTTTAGCAGTTCAGTGCATTGCTGTCCCAGTTGGATTTAAAATTCATTCTATTCACCCCACAAAAGATGGAGGCCACATTTTAGTAGTTCTTGTTCATAGAAGCTGTGGGGACTCTCCTTATGATGATGCATCTGCAATGGACGTTGATGGAGATGACATTGCTCAAAAGATTACCGGACCTTCCAGTATGCTACTGCTTTATTCACTTGACTTTTCAAAAGATGTAATTCGTATAGAAGAAGTCCCCCTAAGAATCAATGAATTTTCTAAATCTGGAGAAATGCCGGTGGAAGTGAGTCTTTTGCCTCTTCAGGAGCGTGAAGACAGAGTTGAAGTAGAAGAGAATGATTCTGGAAGAGATATTTCTAGCCAATCTATTGGTCTTGCCACTCTTATTTGTGCAGATGGCACTCTCCGTGTTGTTGACCTAGCAACTCTTTCAGTTGTTGCTGAGGCTATACCGAATAGTGATTCTAGATTCGTGTCAGCCACATATTGCAACAGTAAGTGCCACATTATATCTGATTCCATTTTTGCAACATCATGTATTTTTTGTCTTATATTTTTTAATTAATTTGTGTTAATAGATTTAGAGAGAATATGCGTGTGCTCGGAGACAGGAAGTCTTCACTTCTACCCCTTACGCTGGAGCAATTTAGAAATGCTTTCCCACATTTCTGGACCTTCTAATATGCAACCGAGTACTTCTTCCAGCCTTAATGTGCCGCCGGACTGTTCTGCTCAGCTCAAGTATGTACTGCAGTGTGCTTGACAGAACATATGAGGTTTTATAACTACCTTGATCTCATGCCACTTATATCATATTCCTGTCTTTTTTTACAGTGATCTTTTGGTCAATAGCTCCTTAGGAATCAATGAACTAAGACAATTGTTGGAGTTAACATTGAGTGAAAATCTCACTCCATGTTATGCTGCTACTGTTCCACCTTGTTGGTCTGAAATAATGCAAGCTCAAAAGCAAAGAAAGCATCCCCAACACTTACAACAGGGAGATGATGCACAACACACTCGAACATGGCGGTTGCAACGTGATGTGTAAGTTTGCAGCAATTGCCACTTTTGCCAAACGTACTGTTTTTTTCCCCTAATGAGGCCTAAGGCAGGCATCAGCATTATTGTCTGCACTCCCCTTTCAGTCCTATTCAATCAATTAGTTACTAATACTGTCTTTATATTTACAGAACTACTTGGGATGAACATGTATTTGAAATCACACTTCCAAAGAGTTGCACTATTGGTCATGTTTGTTTCAAGTTCTCGTTCCAATCTGCATGTTCCTCAGCACCCAATATTCAAGTTACTTTATTGAAACAGAATGTTTCCGGAATCGGGCATAAACCACCAGCAAGTATGCCTGTTGACAGTAAAATTGATTTTGGTATTGGATTTAAAGGTCAGTTATTTCTCATTGACGTCAACAGTTATATCTAATTTGCTGTATATGCCTTTTGTTAAGTAAACTTGAAAGCAAAAGAAAGTTATTCCTAGTGTTTTACATTTTTCCATCTTCATTCCAGATTCATCAGATAACCCAGTGATGTCAGAAGAATATCTTAGAGCACATAATGCAGAGATTTTGTGTGGTCCTGTGAATCTTACTCAGTATATGGACTTGTCTGAGCAAGGGGGCTCTCTGACATTAACAAGTCCAAAACTCATGCATACTCGTAGCAAAACTCTCCAACTTCATCTAAAGGCCCTATCAGTTGATCTGGTAAGCATAATGTGTTAACAAACTTATATAGAAGGAACGATACATCTAAATCAGTGTTTATGACCTCAGCTTTACATTCTTCATTCAACTTTCTTTGGTTGTAGCAATCTCAAGTCCCACGCCCTGAAGAGAAAATTCCCAAGAGAAGTAGAAATGAAAGTAATGCTGGCAGCAGTTCAAGTGCTAACAATAGCAATTTGAACTCCAATTCATGTCCAGGTGGTAAGCAACCATTTTTCATCTCATCCACCGCAGCGTTTTCAAACCATGGAAAGAAGTTTGACACAGTCATGCCCAGTACGACCAAGAAGCCAGAAAACTTCCTTGGCTGTGATTGGCTACAGGAGGTTTCTATTGTCATAAGACGTACCAAACAAACTTCTGTGCAGTTTGAAAGGTAAGTTGTTTCTGGTTGTGGCCTAAAGTGTGTGACATGCCTCATTATAAGGTCTCTTCTTTTATATTGATACTATTCAAATTGGTGTTAACTTGTTTGACTCTCAACAAATAAGTCGTACTTCTCTCTTTTTGATTCTTAGGAGCCAGCGATATGCAATGCTAGAATCAAATTCCTTTATTGAACGTCTTCTTGGTGTAGTTTGCTTGGATGGTCCTGATAAGACTCGCCCAGCCCAAAGTCTAGCATTGGATGTGCTGTGCTGGGTTGTTTCTGTTCGCCTTAGTCCTCACTCTAGTGGAGGTTTAGATGTAGGTGATGCAAAACTCCAACAACAACAACTGGAAGTGGGCAGGATTATCAAATCTCACATTATGGAACTAATACATCATTGTTTCATTCTTGGAGCACGCAGCATTGCTCACAAGTGCCTTAAGTTCATTCTTGTTTGCATAAAGTAAGTTTTTGTCATTCTAATTCTATTATTCTATTCTGATTGCAGTGTTTTTTCAATTTTCAACTCTGATACTCATAAAATTGTTTTTGTCTACTTTCAGAGGCATTCAAAGTGTGAATGAAACGGAGGGACTAGCATTAGAAAAAGCTGTACTGGAAGCTTTAATGGAGTGGTTACCAACAATAGGGGCTACAAAATCAGCCGGGGCTCTTAGATGGTTTTTGTTGCTTCTTATGCGTGTATCGCCCTTGGACTCTGATGGTGTCATTGGAAGAGAATGTGTTTTCCTTCTCACTCTTGTTGCTGGAGAACTTAGTAATAGAACTAACCCTTATCATTTGCTGCTTAGGTCAAGGTAAAAAATGAAGGACTTCATACTTCTTTAAATTATCTATCTAAGGTACCTTTGACCTGATAATCATGTTCTTTTCAGGTTTGGTCTGTATGGCACACCCTTTGAACCCGAGCTGTTTGATGTTGATCCTCCTGTTTCTGGAAAATCTACCTCAATGCCCCTTACATATGCTTCAGTAGTGCAGGGTGACTCCAATATGAATACCACGACAACTGGTGCTAGTGGATCTGGAATTGGAGGTGAAAACTTGGACTTGCGGGAATTATTGAATGTTCCAGGTATATCCGTAATGAATCCCTAAAATATTTTTTGATTGCTAGTGCTAAGTAGCACTATGTACTCATGGTCTTATATTCAGTTTTAGATAAATCTAGCACCAGCAACTCTGGCTCAATAGGAAGCTGCACCAACTCATGCACTTACCCGGGCAACAGCAGTTCTGGAGGCAGCACAAGTTTCCGTCTGAAGGGACTTGCATCCAATCATTACATGAAAGGTCTTTTGGAAGTTGAACCTCTGCATTACACTTGCCACGCTGCAAGTGATGGCACAAAGCTTGAGAAAATTGAGCCAGGTAGGATTGTTCAACCATTCAAAGCATAGTAAAGATTCAGATTCAGGTATTGTTGTTAGATATTGATAACACTTTCTTTATTTTAGGTTGTGGTTGCTCAATCCCAGTTAGTAATTTTATTACACTAGGCACATCAGGAACGAAGAAAGCTGCGGATGGCGATTTTGTAAGTTCACCTTGTTTCTATTAATACTTAAAAAATTTATAGCATGTCTATGGTCTGAGTACATCCCTGAAGCATGGGTTTACTTGATTTCTGAGGAAGTTCTTTTTGTGACATATTACTAACATTTTGTTGTGTTTTTTCTTGCTATTAATAAGTATATCAATGGTGTGTGAGCCCATGTAAGAGAAATATATGGCTTGATGAGGGAGAGACACCCTATTTTTCTCCTTTCCTAATGCTGATAATTTAGCACTAAATTTAATTTTGTGGTTTAGTTTTGTGGTCAACATCCCACATTGGGTGTTATATAGAGTTCTTCTTGCTTTTGGAATTAAACTCAATCTTTGGTTGATTTGTGTGTGAGCGCGCATTTGTATGTGTGTAAATGTATATGTATGTGTGTGTGCGGGTGGGTGTCCTATGTATGTTGTATTGGTGCAGATGTGTTTCTGCCTTGGAAAGGAGTTGGCTGAAGATAAATGGGAAGAGATATCAGACAAAATGCTCACTGCTGCATTGATGGAATCTTCTAGACTATCCACTGTCTACAAAGGGGAGCAGGTATGCCTTTGTGCTATACTTGCTTTTCTGGACATAGATGTACCAAATTGTTTCTGTAGAAAGTTTGTACCTAGTATTTGTATTTCTTTGTGACTCATTGTGTTGCCTTTAGCGGAACACATTATGTAGTGAGCTTTTGACGCTGGTAATGTATTTCATGCTTTAAGTTAGGTACTTGGATTTGCTTTCAATACTACCCTTTCTGCCCTGATGTGGTTGTATCCATCTCACAATACCTCATGACTTGTCTTGCTTATGTTTAAGTCCACTGCACATTAAAGTAATTTTGTTGTAAGCAATGTGAAAAAATTAAAGATGTTCTGTAGTTGCTGGTCTGGTTGCTTGTTTCTAATCAAGTGCATTCCACAAATGTGTACCTTTGTGATAATGTTTGTCTGTGTCAAATGTGAGTAGTTAGTTAACCATGCATTTCCTTTTTTTTTTTTGTTCTTTTGTTTTCTTTTTTATATAATTTCTAATAGGAGGCAATAATATTAAGTTCCATTCCCCAGCACTGCTTCAAGCCTGCAATTTTTCTATCAACATGAATGCTTCTAACCCACTATAGACAGAGTGAAAATTTTTCTTAGGGTCATCATCCTTAACTCACGCCTGTACTTGTTCTTATATATCTTTTATCTTCTAGGTGAAACCACTTGGCATGCTGAGTCAAGAAGGGGAGAGTAGTTCTGCCTCTTCACAACAGTCATCTACCAATTCTAGCCCCTGGTTACCGCAAGATACAGTCATGAATGAAAAATTACTGTCCCCATTAAATTCCCAAACCCAGGCTCCCACACTTAGTAAATCTGACTGTGATGCTAAGACTGCATTTGAAGAGGACAATGAGATGCCATCTTGTTCAACAAAGACTGCAGATGATAAGAAGGTATGACCTTAAATCACTTACGGTAATTTAAATTTTAAAAACACCCTGTAGTAAAACTGTGGAAGATATAGGTTAGTCAACTGGTGTGTTTAAACTCCACAGAATGAAGATTTGTCAACACTCAATGTACCATGGCAGCAACTTTTGGTTCCTCCACCCCAACAGACAGTAGTTATTGAGCGTATGCACTCAGGTGCCCGAAGATTTGTTGTTCTGGACTTTGGTGCTCCAGTCATGCTTACTGACATGATAGTGCCAGCCTGTTGTGATTTAGTGCTACTGTCTGTGGATGTGTGGCTTTGTAGTGAAGAGCAGGATGGCCAAAGGCTAGTAGTTGCATCTGACATTGCAACCAAGGCTTTAGTGCTCAGTGACCTCCAACCCCCTCCTATCTGTCGATATTTGAAAGTGAGTATTTTTGATGACCTGATTCCAGCAGTACTTGATATAAAATTAGAAAATAGCTCTCTTGCTTCACCCTCTTCTTTTCGTATTTTCTAGACTTAGCATATCTGAATTTTCCTTGAAAAAGTGAACGAAGTGGTTCCAGTCACTGCTGTATTATTTCACTCCTATATCATTAATTAACTTGTTAAATTGTGACAGTCACATTGTTCTGCTTTTCATTTACTGTAATAATATTTAGTACATCTACCATGATTCATCACAATTTTGTAATCTTTCAGATAACTACTATTGGCCGTTATGGCATGACCACTACTAAGTGCAAAATTCCAATAGGTTCATTTTTTGGGCACACAATGATCTTACCAGGAGAAAGTGGCCCAGATAATCCTGTTATTCCTCTATTATCAGAATCCAATTTGCAGGTAATGTGATTAACTTTCTTAAATTTGTGCAATCAGCCTGATTACTGTTGTCTCAACTCTGCATCACTTTTGCATTAATACAGGCGCAAATTGGTGTACTTGGATCCTTGCTAGAAGATATTCACTGTCGGTATGCGCTAGCTTGTTCTCGATTAAGAGAGCTCCTTTCGCCTCTTCTACAAGCCGAAACTCCAAATGCAGCGCACATGTACTGCTATTTACAAAGAGCTCGTGATTTGGATAGACAGATTTCTTTTAACCTTGACACATCTAATCAAAAAGTTTTCTCAGCTTATCAGGTTTGTTCTCACCTTTATATCAACCTTGAGTTTTTCTTATCTGAAAACGTTTGTTAAATCTCCTTTGTTTCTTCACAGGAGTGTATTACATTCCAGCACCAATTAAATGTAGTTCGTAGTGTAATGGCTCGCTTAGAGACAGCTTGTAATCCTGGCAGTGAACGTCTTGCCCATGATTCTAATTACCATCAGTATTTTGTGAAAGCTTCAACCGATAAGCTGCGTGTTTTAGGAGAGGGCTTGCTGGATGTATTGCTGTATCTTGGATCTCTTCCCATGGTAAGTTCAGTAATATTTTTCTAACATCTGTAATGTCTTTCTTGCTGCTGGTTTCTGCACTTAATCCTCTTCTTTTGACAATATGATGGCAAGTTGTTTTGTTTCACTTATGTTTTATCAGTACACATTTTCATCACAAGAATTTTCTTGTTTGGATCGTTCTGTTTGCGAAAATTTATTTTACTGGCTCTGTGTTGGACAAGACACTCGAATGCAACTGTCCTCAGCTACTTTGTTAGTAAGACTCTGTGCATCCCAACCGTGGTGGGGTCAATTTCTGGCAGAGACCATGGCAAATTTATTCAGCTCTAACAACAGTGCAGTATTTCCTCAAGATAGGTAGGAAAATAGAAAAACTTATTTTGCTGTAAATAAAACTAAAAATGTATCCATATGTACCTATTTATTACAGTTCTTATAGATAGTTATTGTCTCTGCTAACAATGTGTTTTTGTTTTTTCAGGGTTTTTATTATTTTGGCGTATTTAGGTCGAAAGTCCTTGACTCTATCCTCAGCAAGAATGCCCGTTATGGAATCTGTTATGGGAATGCTGGGAAGTTTATTAGAACCTCTATGCAATGGGAATGAAACTCAGCCACTAAGATCAAATACTGATCTTTCGTTGGTTGGTTGGGCTCTTCTCTTTGTTTCCCAGTGCCTTGAGATTGGCTCTGTTTCTCGGGATGATGAAGACAAGTCTAACAAAGATCAAGGTTAATGTTCTACAATGCTACTACTAAGGGACTGCCTGAGTACAGCTGTGGCTTCACACTTTAGCACTGCTCTTCTTTTATTTTCCAGGTCAACAGAACCGCTGGGACTTCATTCAAGGAGAAGTTGCCATGCAGAAGCGAGCTGCTGCTGGGGGAGGACGGAGCCGAGCCAACTACCTCCGCACGAAGCGCATATTAGTAAAGCAGCAGTTCAGTGGCTTCCATGACGTTCTAGAAACCATGAAAAATAAGTCTAGTCCATATGATGCTAGCAATGATGTGAAGTCCCATGAATCTGTGTCCAAGGTAAATAATACTTTTATTCATCCATCTATTTATATTTTCATTTTATTTTCTTTATGTAGAAAAAAGAGTAGAACATTAGCTCTATTATTTTTAAAAAAATTATAACATTGTGTTATATTTTAATTTTAGGCTAAACTAAAGCCTCAGGAAATGTACATTAAAAAAGTACTCAAGCATCCTCTAGTTAATGTGAGTTCAATTTTAATTATCTAATGTTAACTTAATCACATAAGCATTGATCAGGCCCTCTTTAAGTCTATTTTCTATTTTTTTTTTAGCATCTGAAGGAAACCCCAGCGCTACGAATGGTTGATGCCAGCAAACGAGGCTGGGGTGGAGGACCACGCCGAAATATGGCGAGTTCTAGCAGCACTGGAGCAGAATCCGAGTGCCCCTCTGATAGTAGAGAGAACACCTTGCCATTAACTCTACCTCAAGCACAGTGTCTTCCTGTTGCCAGGGGTTTAATTGCATTAATACTACACATGGACTTTACGTGCAACATTGATATGTTTTTACTGGCATGTAAAGTCTTAGCCAGAATAGTTTGGTGTTCAAGACCTGCCCTTCCTCTTGGACATTTGATGTCCAATGAGCAGCTTTCGAAACTTGTCCGCATGGCTGTCTGGCAAGATCCCCATCAGACGTCATGGGGTGGTCCATGGGCAGCTCATGCCATCACATGCCTCTTGCAAGATATCCTTGACGGTGTGCGGTCCACGTCCCAGGCAGCAAGCAGGGAATGTAGCCCTGCAGACGATGGATCTGATAACAAACCAGGCACAAGTCAATCAACTAATGCTCAGAGTACAACTTACGAAAAGTTGAGAGTATATGCCAGTATGTTATTCCTTTTGATTTTTCATTAGAACTATGTGCATTAATTCATTGATTAGCCATGTAACTGAAATTTTCCACTGTTATTGATCCAGAGGGATGTGCTAGTGCGTCATCATCTGGTGCATCTACTTCTGCAGCAGAATCAAGTCCTCATCTAGCCGCTGCTGCAACTGAACCAGCTTCAGACGAACCCATAACACCAGAAACTCCAGTGGATATAATGAGTTCAGTTTCCAGCCCTTTCATTCCAACAGCCCCCAAGAAAGGTTTCCCAAAGTTGAAAGGGGGATCGTCATCTTGGGCAAAGGCAGTTGCCGGAACAAGTTCTATTGCAGAACTGCTTGACTATATTGCAGACAATGAGGGACCAAATATGGATGGAACAGAGGATATGGTTGCTGAAGACTGCCCTGATGCAGCAGTTTCACAGCCAGGTATTGTATATGTTTTAAATGAACTCTAAGTCAGGTAGCTCCCACCCATGGGTCATGTAGCACTGAAATGTTGTATCTACGTTTTTACTAACATCACCTCATTATTATTGTAAAGGTGGTTCGGGCAGTGGTAAAGGAAATGGTATGGTTGCGCTTGAATCTGATGATAGTGAGCTGGATGATTTCTTGGATGATATTTTGGAACATGGGCGCAATATGTTGAGAAAAGGAAGCAGTTCACGAACCTCTATTGTTGCCTCAACTAAAGCTGGATGGTAATTTCACTCAATTAATTTGTGACACATTTTTACACAACTATGAATCTAATCTTAATATCTTATAAAAAATTTCAGTATTTCAACCGCAATGGATGCTCGACTTGATTTTGCTGTGGACTGTCATGCAGAGGTGTTAATCAGAAGACTGTCAATGCTTGGAGCATACAATCTTCCTCACAGTGTAAATGCAGTTTTCCCCTCATGCAGTGAGGGAGAAAAACCTTCATCCCCAGGAACTTGGCCTCAGCCAGAGAATGAACCAACTGCTAGTCACAACATGCTTATTGCCTGCTTTGACAAAATATTCGTTGAATTGAGAATTCAGGTAGTGTTTATGATGTTATTCTAATCATACCTTGAGTTTTGTCTCTTTAGTTTCATGTTTTAACACTCTGCTATCATTTGTTTACAGGGAACCTGGACAACTTTGGAACAAGCTCTGCAACTCTGGTTGACATTGAACTCAGAAACTAATTTTGATTCTGGTGTGCACCACTTTGATCCATCATCTTGTCCAACCATTGGATTAAGTCCTGAAGCAATCCATAGTTTATTTGCTGCACTCATGTTGTAAGTTGTCTTCTTTTTTGAAACGTCTGATATTATCCAATTGAATATATTAAGGCACTTGTATACGTTACAATTGTAATTTGGCACCTTCACGTAATTTATTTTTAAACGCGCTCTTATATTTTAGCCAACCTGAAATGTCCGTGAGAACTTGGTGTTTGGCATTCCAATGCCTAACTCAACTTTCGAATACACCGTGCTCTGAAGCTGTTGCTCAGTGGGGCTCTAGAGTATCCCAGGGCATGACACATGTTATATCTAATGATCCAATGTTTACATCCGTACTTGATCGGTTTTTATCTGGTTGTGGACTTACTTCTGGAAACTCTGATGTAAGTATTGGTTTTTGATCTATGTAAGCATTATGACTTTTCTTTGTCGGTTATGTCTTGATGTTTGATTTAACCCTTTTCTTTTCAGGTTGGTCCAACTGTTTGTGGAGCCATGCGGGACCTTTTGGTGAGATTAATGGTTCGTACAGATTCTCGACCAGTTCGTAGGGCATCAACATGGATGTCTTCCCAACTATTACATTTAGCAAATACATTAGTTCGTTCCAATGGAGCAATACCTAAACGCCATGGCCCTCTTGATGCTCAATTTGCATTCTTTAACCTGCTTCTTGGCTTCAACCTTGTGACAAACGTTGATACCACTGTTGTAATGAGTTATCTAGAATCCGTTGGTAAGTTCACTGAACCATCCATTTTTTTTTTCTTGACTAATTTTTTGTTTACCTTATTACATCTTTTAATGGTTTTTAGGTGCTCTTGTACACCATTTCATCATGACATCTGAGAAAGTGCGTCGGCGCAGTGTTACTGAGACAAATCAAAGTTCATCAATGTGTTTTGGTGGTCTCTTGTCTCATGTCATTGGAGGTGAAGCCAAAGCATTGAAAGGTTCTTCTTGGGACAATCTGTTATGTTCAGTTTTAAAACTTGCGTGCACCCTAGTCCAAAACCCTTTGGTAAGGCCATTCAGATCTCATAAAGTTCATCCCTTGCTCTCTTTCTTCATTACCATACTGATCTTTTGAATTTCTTGTATTCTTATAGAAAACAGAATCAGTGTCGTCTTCAGAAAGTGCTGAGGCTTCAAGCTCTACCATGATACCAAATATTCCAGATGACATGTGTCAGACAGATGAACACAAAGCCAAAACTATGGGAAGTGGTACAAACACAGCACAGTCGTTGCCACGCATACCATGCATCGCTGACTTAGGTAATGATTGCATTTTTATAAAAAAAAAAAAAAAAAAAAAAAAAATTGTGTGTGTTTGTGTTTTTTTCTATCTATATGTTGCATCAGAAAGAGCTTCTGTGGAGTCTATGAAAATTTTAATTCTTCAACAACTTTTTTATTTGAATCTTTAACTTAAACCGTAATTATGTATTCACTGTCTCTTTTCAGTTCTGAAAAATCAGCTCACTATGGCCAGGCTGCTCAGTGCCCTTGCAGGCTGTGTGGGCTCCCCACTTGCAGTGCTTTTGGGGACAAGTGGTGAAAGAGATGCCATCGAACCTCGAGCTCTTTCCACTGCCCTATCTGGGGAACCAATATCTGTAGGAGATGGAATATTTCACTTCCTTCACATTTTATGCAAGAAGGTGTCTAACGCGCAACTGCTGTTGCAACCCTTACTCAACTTCCTTGTTGCAAGTATGTTACTGAGGTTTTTTAACCATCTTTTCTGTTTGCTCTGAGCTATGGTCCTAAATTTTTATTCTTTCTTAGTCCGAGAAGGTTCACCAATTGTTGCTGGTCAGTCATCAGGGCTATTACAGCTCTCGGAACCTCTATTGTGGTTTATTATGAAAGCTTTAGATTCGCCTGAAACTTTAAATCTTTTCAATAACATGGGAGGCACAAAGGTAAACAACACTTTCTCAACATTCTTTCTTCAATTTTCTACTTTATGTATGTAAACTTAATTGTTTGGTAATTTTATTTGCAGGTGATTTGTGAAAACCTATTACATTGTAGCCAAAAACTTGTTAGCTCACATCCCAGTCTGGTTTCAGTAGTAATGCAACATTTAAGTAGAGGTGCACCCACAAACCCAAATGTTAATAAGAAAGTTGCTGTTCCACAAGAATCCTTTGAAGGGTTGCAAAATTTTGCTCCACTTGGATCTATTAGCTCAAGTAGCACTACTGCTCAACCTGCTGACGTTCTTATTCAGTCGTTCCCCTCACATAGAAGAGCTCGCACACCAGCATGGTCGTATCATTTCTATCCAGATGAATTGTACATGGACCTCACTCTACGATTGCCATGTGCTGTATTATTGAAGGAAATTCAGCTCCAACCACACTTAACATCTCTTGCCAGTGAGTTACACATGACAAGCACAGGTGGAAATAGACTTGCATTTTAAAACCAATTAATAATCTATCTAACTAATGTTTCAGCTTGTCCTTCTGCTGTTGGTCTTGAGGCTTCAAGAGATGGAACTTCACCCCTTGTTCCACTTTGTTCACCATTGCCAACAAGTGGAATGACATTTGTCCGACTGACTTTAGATCGACCAGAAGTTGTTACCTGTGTGTTGCTCCGCCTGTACCGTCCTCATGATTCTGCCAGCATTGGACTTTCTCAGGTTCGGCTGCTTGGCTCAACAACTTTTGGTGAGACAGCATAT